AAAATTTACAATCATAGCAAGTGATTTTAATTAGAACGAGAAAAGCTGTAATTAAAGAATTATTGTTTAAAAAGCTGTCCTTTTCTCCGAAACCGGTTTTTTGCGTACAAAGTCGAGCTTCAAAATAGTCCCATCATTTAAAATTATTTTGAACAAAGTTAAATATGAATAAAGCCTAACGGAGAACTCGCCCAGTTCTTCTAGCTTACGATTAAAGAAATAAGATAAGATGCCAGAACGCTGTATGAGAAAACCAAGAACGCGTTAAAGAATTTCCTTGACATTTTATCGCACTCAAATGGTGTTTACAAAACATAAAATAAAAAGACCTGATGGCGTTGCATTTTTAATTTTTTTTTATGCTAAGTTTCTATGTTTATTAGGAGCATGCCCTCAAATGTCGTTGCTGCGTTATGATGTGAAACAGAGTTACAACACTTCAAAATCGCATAAAAAGGCTACTCTTGAATAAACATTAAAAATGTGAATGTGCTGATTAGAAAAAACGCGTAAACACGGAACCAGGCGAGACCTTCACCTATTTAATAAAAAAATAAGAACTCGTCTTGTATTCATTACAACCGTAGAACCTTTGAATGCATACAGGTATGTCTTTGAAAATATCAAAACTTGCACTTTTTCTTTTCTTGTTGTGCGAGAAGTTTAAAGAAATGTGTATCATAATCTCCACTAAAAGAATAATGATAAATTGGCAATTTATTTCCAAAAAGAACAAAATACGTAATACGCGCACAGGCGCGACATTTGCACTGCACACAGGAGCGTTAGCACAGCTGCCACCGGGCAAGCCAGCGGCCACGGAGAGAGTAACTAAATATTAGTGCGTTATATTTTAACCGAACGACGCGGAAACCTCCTCCACCGACGAGGGCGACTCGCGGTACCGAAAGCGCGCAAAATGTGACGTCTTTGGTTCTGGGCTTACTAGCGGTCAGAGCCGCTAAAAGCTTCTGTTTGGTCGAAATATAAAATATAAGTGGCGCGAACCGTTTCAATTGTATATAAAAGTAGTTTTTGTTCAGTATTTTAAATCGGAAGAGAAACGAATGCAGTTTATAAAGTACGGAAACAAGAAGTGACCCGTCGACATACTTGACACCAGGCGGTGGAAAAGGCGGCGCACACTAGAAAGGAGTAGTGGGATCAGGCGCCGACAGGGAAAGGTCCCGGATGTACGCGGCGGCGCTGTGGTTGTATGGACAGGAGAATTCGACCGGCTCCGAGCGTTTCGAATGCCTTTGGCGAGAAGCTTAGTCTTGCGGTTCGGCCGTTTCGCGGTATGGCAGCGCGAAGTGGCTCCCATTCTGAACTGACCTTTACCCCGTATTTGCTGTCGTTTGTGGCCAATGAAGTGTCATGCCGAATTAGTGTTTAATCGCGCAGCAAATGCAATGCGAGCCGCTCTGGCTGCCCGCTGCATACAGCCTATCCAGAACATGCTTTAATGGCGCCCTCTCGCGCCGTCGACACGGAGTGCGGCAGACGTGAGCGCTCGCTGAGCTCACTACCCCTCCTCTAGTTCACGGCCACTCAAGCAACCAAGGACGTCGTGAGGGAGGTTACTTTTTGCTTGTTTTTGTAATTTTAATTTGTCTATCACTTTTAAAATAAAGCAAATTTCGAGAAAAGAAAAGTTTCACTAAGTTACTACATTCAGTGCGCTCAGGTTCGGTGCAAATTAAAAATCAGTAAAAAAGTCCTTGCAGGGCCCCTTTAAGGAGGTTTAGACAACCTGGCAACCACAGCAGCGTAGTCTTAACACCAGGGATAACTACTCCCGTTTGACGTTTTGTGGCTGTGACTCATAAGCGGGTTTCACATGCAGCGATTCCACGGCCGAAATTGCTGCCGCTAGTGACGCGGCGGCACGGATCGCGAGGTTCACTTTCACATGAGCGTCTGCTGCCGTTGCGATGGCTAATGTTGCTTGCAGCGAGCAGATGCGAACAGTCGGTTACAGCGGCTTCTAGCAACAATTCTAATGCCTTAGTTTTCAGTTTCCCCTTTAATTTCAACTTAATAACACAAAAATATGCCTTTAAAACACTAAATAAACCTTGGTCTTATTTGTTTATGATTTTTTTTTCCAAACTTTGTTGTCGTGGAGGATGAAACAACGGATCATCCTCGGCAGCGTCACGGGCACCGCCTGCCTCGGATCTAAAGATTCCAACTGATATGGCCGACCCGAACCTCCTGGACGACGTTAAAACCCGTAGTATAGTGCAGTGGTTTTATACCGGTCTTGTCGATCACTTTCACGGCACTTGTCGATCACCTCTTCTCAGAGATTCTCTTTGGTCCCATTGTTCATAAATTATATGAGCTGCGCGTCCCAAAGAACCCGATGTTTCGACACTTCACTGGTGAGCATTTCATTGAACTGGGCGCGATACATTTAATCTTACTTAGTGTGACGATCTGTCTTGGAAAAGACACGTTCATGTTGCTCAGTTCTTGTCCTTCTCTTGTTTTTCTCACTAGCGCTCAAACAAGCCACTTCCGATTAGCGTCTCTTGCTCTCGCTACTGTTGGTACTCAGGCGAGTAAAGTACAAAAGAGCCGCGTAATTCATTATGAGAACAAATTCTGGGGAAAGGGACAGCAATCTCCCTCCTCCATAGTCTCCTGAATAGTTCCGACGCAACAGCTGAAGCAAAGAAGCTCGACCCTCCGGAAATAAGAAACCGCAAACCAGTCGCTTGCGTGCTTTCTCTGATTGTCGTCTGCTTCTAGAACGTGAAAACGCCGCCGTTTTATGCGCCAGCTTTCCCGCAATGTTTCTCTTCCGGTCACGTGATTTCCCACTGCGCTCTGAGTGGCCAGCGCGGAAGCTGCCGCTCTGCCGCTGCGAAAAATTTCAAACCTGGTGGAATCGTGCCGCTCAGCCGCTGCGGCTGGCCAGAACGCCGCGACAGCAGAAATCGCTCCGCTCTAGGGCCAAACTCGCTGCATTTGAAACCCGCCATAGGAACTTTATGCGATCTCTCAGGAGTAAACATGACAAAGAAGTAACGCGATTTTGTGTTATCACGAAATCCGCTGGTTCTAGCGGGCAACACGCTCCGCCTTTTGGCCGAACTCTTTTGGTATAAACGGCTCCGATGCTAATGTAACGACTGGTTGGAGGTTTTTCTTGTTTTTTGAATATCACTAACGCGGTACCTAAATTCGCGGGATAAAAAAAAAAAAAAAACTCTAGAATTCACCTTTAACTCATTTTTTTCAAGAACTTCTTCAGCTTCTCGTTAACACGTCCCACACATGAAAGGTAAATTTTGTTCTTTAAAGATATATATATATGGGGGACGGAAAACACCAATAATTAGGTGCGCACCGTTAAAGCAAAAGGCAGAGCGCTTTTTTATTTCTTTTCACAAGAGAATCTGTTGCTGTATTTGACAAACGTAGTGTGCAGAAAATGGACAAGTATCTCGTGCCTTTTATTGTCTAGTTGTTTCAAGATAACAAAAATATTTAAAATGATCACGTGCAAAATGAACACGCTCTTGAAATCGCGGGTATTCCGCTCAGCGAATGAGGAAATTTAAGGGCGAAGTTTGTTGCCAAGATTTGTAACAAAACGTAGATAAAATACTGCACAACCCTAGAGATCTCTACTCGTAGATAAACAACAAATAAGAAGCAGTTAAGAAAAAAATTAGCGTTAATGCCACTTGACTCGGAAAACGATAACAATGCCTAAATTCCGACCGCATGTTTGAGCACCAAAACAAACACGCACACAGATACGCACGCGAAGAATACGCAAGGATCTCTTGTAGTCTTGCATGAAACAATTTTAGAGATTGCACACACTGGCCTCTTCAGGGTTACGTAATGAAACCTGACCCCTCTATCTTCTCAATTCTTGACAGCCCCGCGCCACAGTCGGTGAAAATCGCAACACACTGACACTTCCCAAAATATGTGCTATAAAAGAGAAAGGTGGATCACTGCTTCGCGAGTATACACCTTTCACAGTTCGGTAGAATATTCCCTCCATCGCACAGTTCTTTTAATATCCCGACAAGAAACTAATGCTTTCTTAAAAGAGTAGAAGGTTTTGTGCTGTGAGTCGTAATGTAACGAGGCAGGCCAGATGCAAATCGAAATTGATCGAATGTAAAAATAAGATCGTAAACGTTTTTTTTTTCGCTTTTTTTCTATGGTTTGTTTTTGCCGGCTGCCTGTTTTGTGCGCTCTTGAAAAAAGAAAAACCTGTATATATTGTGCTAAAAAAAGAAAGAAGGTTACTAATGTTATGCGATTGTCGAGGAACATGAGTGATATTCCTTAAGTCTCGCTTTTCTTCTTCTTTTTTTTTTGTTCACTGTAGTAATAGGCAGCGTCAAAAACGCAGGGCGTAACTCAGGTTCACTCTTGTTGCCTCGTGATTTTTTCTTGGCATTTTTAATCGGTTAATTCTTCGAACTCATTGACTGCGAAGCGATGATAAAATGCTCGGGACGCGGCAAACCCTGCATTTTTTATATTATCAGTGAATCTAGGAATGTACTGCGCGGGAACGCAATTACAGCTCTGCTCTCCAACGAGGACTGGTCCAGGACAAGACGCTTCATCATCGTAGCATTCCACATGTTCTTTTTTTTTAATTCCTACCTGCCTCGTAACGTATCGACCTCGGAGCAGGTGCTGCTCCGAGGTCGATACGTCACGAGGCAGCCGAATTTGGCTTGAAGCCATATCCGGCCCGTTAAATCCTCGGTATTTACCACAATATATCAACCCACTTGCCGTCGTTGAGAGAAATTAATTGGGCAACACCGCGAGATCCAATTGCCTCACACGGCGGTCGGTCCCAACCAGAGCGTTACGGCTTGGTAACAGGTTCCACACGTCGGCGAAGAGCACAGTTCATACGTGATATATGAGTTCGTGTGCACGGAATATGCCGTGCCGGAAGCACCACGAGGACCGCCGTAGAAGACGCGATGACAGGCGTCAGGGTGGTGAGGCTAGAGGAGCTCCCACGGGCACGAAGTGTAGACCCGGTACGTGGTGAAGCGCGCCAGCAGCGGGCAGTAGACTCCCAGGAGCGTGCTGATGATGGCCAGCACCGATGCCCAGCCCAGACGGCACCTTCCCTGCTGGTAAGGTCCGGTGCCCGGGCCGCAGTGAGCCTCGGCGAACGGTGTGCCCAGGGCCCACGGGAAAACGAGCAGCGCGGTCAGTTGTAGCAACACTGGAACGAAACGGAGGAAAAAGCAGTCTTATTTAGCGTGCTTTACATTATGTTAGTAATATTTTTGACTCACTATCCGAAAGTTTATTGAGGTAAGATCCAATTTCTCGTGTTGTTGTAATACGAGCTATAATTGATCGATAACCAACCATTGCCGATCAGGCTGAAAGCGAGAGCATGGGTTGTAGAAAAAAAAAAAAAAGAATGTTGGTAAGGGAATGACAACTATTTTCTTAGTTTTTAAAGGATTATCTAATACGGTTTCAAGCAGCAGTGTAGAGTTAAGGAATGGTTTTGAGATCTAAAGGGAAGCTGAAGCGGTTTTGGATTTGATTAGAACACTTGGTTCTTTTCATCCAACTTCAAGCATCAAAATATCACAAAACAATGTAGGCCATTTCATTCCCGCATTACATAAAAAGACGCCGTTAAAGTTGCGTTAAACCACGCTCCTTCGCGGCGGGAGGAGTGGGTAGTAAAAGGAGAAGGAAAGACAAGATTCCTCACTCTACAGAGCCAGCATCGGGCGTAGGCTCGAGCTCCCTGCTTTGAAGTGTTCTCCTGTAGAACTAGCACTCGCGCTAGAAATGCATGTATAAAAGCCAGGAGCGGGGGCTAGCTCGCACTTGTATACCTTTGGCTTTGAAAGATGCCAACTGAACGGAGGAAGATACAGGAAGAGAGAGAGGGAGAAGAGGACAAACACAGTGCTGGACTGGCAACAATTTACTGACGCTCTTCCACACCCATTAGTTTACTTTGGAACTAGCGGGTGTGGAAGAAAAATAGGTTTATCTTCAGTAAATGGTGGCTAGTCCAGCAGTTTTCCGAGCATCTTTCTAGAGAAGAGGCGGGCACCTTAACGAACCCGTGGATGCACGAAGCGGAGACGAAGCGAGGTCAGGATTGCCAGTGGATCATTGCGAGAAAGATGCAATTGGAGCCGCGCCTGGTCATTTTCTGACTCCCCGGCCTTTACTCTCTCCGGTATGCTATTTAGAATCGCGAAATTCATAATAGGTATTGTGAAATCGGCAAATGAAAATGATGCAAAAACCAACATTCAAATATACGCGCACTTTTCAGTGCCGTGACGTCAGTGGCAGGCAGGCTTGCCAGTCGAGCAAGCAGCCAAAAAATAGAATATGCCAATCATTTCTTCCGTGCTGGAGCGCGGGTACTGCAGCGAGCTTCCCAAGCATTCATTTGACACCATGAAACTGCTTCGAATCAGTTTAAAACAAAATCTACAGCCCAAAGAGTGAACCCCTGCCTTCCACTGACGTCACTTTTTCATTGTTGCCAGTAGAGACTTCGAGCTTGAAAAACACGGTGAGGACCAAAACTGTAAATTCAATAACTTCGCGAAAAAACAATATTTTGACCTAATATTTGGGATACTATTTTCGCGATGTTTGTTGGTTAGTTTATCAAAATTTCAAGCAAATTGGAGACAATGAAAAAACCTGTGGAGTACCCCTTTAAGCGCGACCTAAACCAACGCGTTTTTGTGCGCGCGTAAACCGTGCTCTTCCCGGTAATTACGTATTAAGTGACGCTTTTGCTGTTTCCGGTACGCTTTCTGAGTCACAAGCGTGCGCGTTGGCTAGGACGGTGCGCCTTCGGGCGAGCGGAGAGCATCTGCGCCAGACGGCGAAGAAATGCGTAGCCGGAACTGGTGCCCTCCACCGGTTGGCCGGGAGACGATATGGAAGAGGAGCGCCCTACTACGTCACGGCGCGTTTTCGTGAGCGTTCAGGAAAAGTTAAAATCATCTAACTTTCTTATGCGCGCCCGGAAGGCGCAAGGAATCAGCGCGACGTCACGAAATACGCAATTTTCGCGAAGCGCACGGCCTACGCGGGCACACAAACGCGTTGGTTTGGATCGCGCTTTAGGTGCTGGCCGTTTCCGGGTTGAGCCGCGTCGCCGTCACCGTCGCCATCGGCGTGACTGCGCGTTGCATTATGGGACGTTTCACATAATGACGTCACACGTTACGCCACTCAACCCGGAAAATTTATTCCGCTAAATTTAGCAGAGAAATATTACCCTCATGAAGTCACACGTGACGTCACATGTGACGTCGCGTGAATGAATACGACGTTAAGTGAAAGTTAGCGGAAAAAATTTCTGCTAAATTTAGCGGCAAGATTTCCCCGCTAATTTTAGCGGGGATATTTTCGCTAAATATAGCGGGAGATTTACCGAAAATGTCCCGCGAAACGGGAGGGGAACAGGAGAGAAGGCGGAGAGCAGGAGAGGAGGAGGGGAGGGTACGGAGGGGAGGAGGGGCATACCGTTCCCTCCGTATCCTCCCCTCTTCCTCCTGAAGAGCTGCGCCCTGATTTGACATTACGGAAAATTGTAAACGTCTTTCATTTTTTATAATTTTTTCTTTACGTTTATTGTCTATTTGAGGACAAATGATCATAATATTTAGATTCTTCAGAAAGAAAACTAGACCAGAAAGAAGAATTAACTATTTTGTGTAAAAATAAACCGCTTCAGCTTCCATTCTAGGTAACGCCAATTAAGCAGCATAATTTTTTTAATGAAATGCGTGTAGGCTACTTAGTGTATACACCAGGTTGCGATATTTTTAGGGCTCTACACGTTTGGAAGGCCTAGTATAACTTTTCACTAACAGGGTTATGGAACTGGAAATCTGTTTCTGGTAACCTGCTATCGAGATTGCAAACAAAGTTATATTCTTTTTTTAAACCTGAAATTCAGATGGAATCTAGATAAATTTTCAGTTTCATAATCCAGATAGCGAACATTTGTTGCGCGTTGTTTGGTAGGGTAGTAATCGCCACATTTAACTGACGATTGTTGATCATTGTCGTTTCTTGACCAGGCAACACAGCTCAAGTTAGTGACACCACAGTGGCCAAAAACTACCTGGTCGTGATATTTAGTCGAAAGCTATCTCATTCCAGGATCCTCCATGCTGGTCCAAGCTCGCCTAGCCGCGGTACGATCGTATACTCTCACACGACTCGGCTACTCCAACGTATCTGCGACTCCTGTGACCTATAGGGGTCGCCACTATCGGGCACATATGACGGTCCAAAAGAAAGGTTGCCACCGTGCCACGTGCTAGCACAACGAACAACATTCGGAATTCAACGTACTCAAAATGGTTTGCCCTGCTTTTTATTCACTACGCTTCATACCTGCGGCAATGCGCTGGCGTACGCGAGGCTCCAGAGGCTCGACCTTTTCCGGAGAAGCGACAGAAGGACTGCGGTACCGATGAACGTCGATAAACACCCAATGTTTGGTTCACGCCGTAGCGGTTGCGTTCCGAGCGATCTGGGCAACACGCTGAAACAACAGTAAGAATTGAGTCACCGAGACAACTGTTCCATCGCGCCAACCGACGACAACATGCAATCACGGAAGCCCACAAGAGAGGAGCAGAAACCGGGAAATAACCTGCTCCGCTTATTTCAGTGTTTTTTTCGCTAAGTGCCGTCCGGTTTTGATGGAGTCGCGAATACTCTTGCTCTCGTCTTTGTGCCCTTTGGCCTTTAATTGTGCGAGATCGTCGCGGACGACGGCGTGTTCCTGCGTGACGATCTCGTCGTTGTCACTGGAGCTGGTCGCGAGCAAGTCAAAGTCCAAATGACTAGCTTCCAACATGTTTGATGAGAGTCTCATCGCTGCTGCGATCAGTGTCGAAAAGTCCGACGAAATAAGCGATGCTGTAGACGTCATCGTCTCGATACCGTGTGCTCGAAACGCGGAAGGTACACGTTGAAGCTGAACCGCGAGGCGCCGAGATAGCCAAGTCTTGCGAGTGCGTCCAAGTGGACGCCGCGCGTTGGGCGGATGACGTCACCGACCCAACGAACACGCGACATTTTGGCCGAGGTTGAGCAGTTTCGCGTGGCTCGCATAATGAGCCGTGCTCCGTGCATGCGCGAGGAGCAATGACGTCACACGGCGCACAGCTGGCGCGCCGGAGCCGCCGTCGCCGCGCGCTCTGCCGCCGCCGCGCCCGCCTCGCCGGTCTGCGCATTCCAGAGGAGTGACGTCATAGCCGCGGCAAACGCACTGGCGCCGCCGCGTGCCCAGCTGTGCGCCTCCGTTGCAGAGTAGCCAAGTCTGACGCTGCACCGGAGCCGCTTGATAGCGCCTCTCATTTTGTGCGCATAATCTCACGCTACGTATATGCTGGCATAGCCGAGCTAAGCCACCGCAATTTTTTTTGTTGAATGGGGTTTATCCGAGGGTTTCTTCTATAAATCTATTTATCAACAAAATTGTAGCTCTACTTTTACGACAAATTCTGCAGAAATATAAAAACACACAATAGGTCGGAGCTGAATAGTTATCTCAGATTTCATTTTTTAATTGTCCAGACCCATTTAACATTCAACGCGAAGTCATAGTTTCTCACCATAAACGAGTAATAACACACATAATCCGTGTGCAGTATCGGCCACTACCAAGTATATCCTTGTAGAGGCGATTATTTCCCTTTTCACTAGGATCCTTTTCACCGTATTCTTGATTGCCAAAAAAATTGGCTCGAATATGTTCCTAAACGAAAAAACCTTTCAATTTTCAACGTCCTCGTTCTTATTACATATTTGTTAGATATATTTTAGTTACGGTAACATATACAAAAAACTAGGCCTGCAAGCCTTGCTCGTATCGGGCACTTGTATGTTAAGTATATTCAGTTCCTTTACGTTATCTAACTTTCTGACGGTCCCTCCCAACAGTCTCTCCCGGCTTGATGCAAACATTACATTGCCTTCTCCCCCCAGAAAGAATCCCTATACGCACAAAAAATAAACGATCGCTCACTGGGGTGGCGTCGACTTCAATACCACACACCTGAGCTCGTCTGAAATCAACGCCCACGTTCATCTTACTCCCCCCTCGTCCTCGTAATGAATACGCCGGAAGACTAGCTCGTATTTTTTCTCGCAGGCGGTATTCTTTTTTCGGGGTCCCGATTGGGGAGTAGTAGAGAGGGCCCGCCC